GGAGACAGCTGCCTTTCATGTCGGCTTGAAAGACTCTTAAAAACTGTGGGTTCAACTGAGTTAAGGGACTGAGGGCTTGAACTGAGGAGAGCATATCAAAGATGAGCCTGCGGGAATCTATTAAGGCTGGTTGTATTTAACCACTGACTGTCTCACTCTCTTCCCTTCCATCTCTCCCTTTATCTCACCCTTTCTCTGTTTTCTTAAACTTTTTTTCTGTCTTATAAAATTGTTCGTATCTTTATTTCTTCTCATTCTTGTCTTTCTCCCTGTCTGTCTTTCTTTGTTTCATTGCTCCTTTTTTCTCTGTTCTCACTCATTAGGTTCCTGTCTGGAAGTTGGGCAGATTTTCCAGATATTCAAACATCATATAAAGGCATTAAATGAAATGCAAATAAGCTGATAAGAAAAGGAAATAAGAAATAAATATTAAGCAGAAATAATGACATTTTGTGGGGGGTAATTTTACTTCTTTTGCTCTAAAATGCATTCATGTTGTAATTTGCTATATCTCAATTTCTTTACAGACAGTCATTTTCAAATTAGTTATACAGAACACTGTATCAAATTCTATCATTTAATTAAATGTTCAAAAGGGATTGCAAATGTCTGACCTTCTCCACCTCTTTTCTCCCATTTTCTATCATTCTGTAGCATTTTCTTTTTTATTTGCCTAAAATAAATTTTCAGAAGCATTTTTTACTTCCTAATCTGCTTTTCTTGTTTTCAATTGACAATTTTACAACTTGTGTTTTTGTGAAGCACTTTGTAACATTGGTTTTAAAAGTGCTCTATAAACAGTCTCTCATCACTTCCGAACGTCCATCATTTTTAGACTAAAGTTCATCCTCTCTCTTCCTCCTCTGTATTTTCTCAATTTTCTGTTAATCGCCCTCTCAGCTTAAATCATCTTTGTTTATTTATTTCTTATTTCTGTTTCAACATTTCTCATTTCACATCTTCTCTTTAACCGCTTTGCTCTCTCCTCTTTTTTCCGTCTCTCCTTCTGTTTTTGCGTTTTCTTTAGTGTTACTCTTTAAGATGAACACTTGACACCTCTCTTTCTCTCTCCATTTGTCCTCCCTCCTCCGGTCAATGCCAGCTACGTCCATTCATCTCCTTTACTACCAATTCATTAACCACACTGACCCCTCCCACTGCCCTCCTGGGACAGTTCATCATTAGAGCCCAAATTTACACAATCAGCATGTTGTGTGGTTACAGTATTTATTTGCATTTGTGCTGCAGGGTTACATTGTTGAATTAGATGACCGTCCTCTGTGATGTTTATGGCGTGTGTGGGTGTGTGTGTGGGTGGGTGTGTGTGT